CGAGGAATTTATGAATGGGGCATTCCTCAATGGCTTGAAGGAGGAGGTCAAGGCTGAGGTGAGGTTGCGGGACTCCGGAGACTTAAGCACGATCATGGATTTTGCTCAGAAAGTGGAGGAGAAGAATATGGTATTGGGCTTTCCTTATGGTAGGGGGAGCGGGTCAATGGGTCCAAAGCCACATTGGGCCTTAAGGGTAAGGGCCCAAGAAATGACTAAATTAAATGGGATAGGGAGAGGTGAGCCCAATTCGTCGTCGAGGTTTAGGCTTCTTGCTCGCACTAATGGCAATTGGGTTGAAGGCCCAGCGAACCGCAATAGTTCACGAGAGTCCTTCACACCTTCGAGCTCAAATCGCAGAGACCTAGGGTTCAAACGGCTAACCGAAGAGGAGGAAAACGACAAAAGGAGGAGGGGCCTTTGTTTTCGCTATGATGAAAGGTTTACCCCGGGCCATGTGTGCCGCAACAAGCAATTACATGTGGTTTTGATGGGAGAAGAGGAGGCGGACCAGGGCGGGGTTTCCATTGAAGAAGACAATGAGGAGGAAATGAACCTCCAGCTAAATGCGAGTAGCATAGCGGGGATGACCTCCAAAAATTCATTGAAGCTGTGGGGTACTATCTCGGGTAAGAAGGTGATAGTCATGGTGGATTCCGGCGCCTCCCACAACTTTTTATCTCCGGAACTGGTGGAGGAGCTGAAAATACCCACTGAAGCTACAAGAGGGTACTTTGTGGAGGTAGGGGATGGTCAACGGTTGGGAAGTCAAGGGGTTTGTAGGAGTGTAGTACTTGAACTACCCAACCTACAAGTAGTTCAGGATTTCTTTCTCTTCGATTTGGTGGGCGTGGACGTTATTCTGGGGTACGAGTGGCTTAAAAGTTTGGGAAAATTTAGTGCGGACCTACGACAGCACTTGATTGAGGTGCAGAAGGAGGGAAGGACCATTGAGATAAAGGGAGATGTGGGGCTGTCCAGAACTGTGGCTTCGTTAAAGGCAATAAGGAAGGAACTGAGGAGAGAGGCAGAGGCATATTATGTAGAATTGGGGATGCTACATATGGGCTGTTCTGAAACTTCTACTCAGGTGTTAAACACCACATCTGAAACGATGAAGGAGTTGTTATGGGAATTCGGGGAACTATTCAAGGAGGGAACTGCTCTTCCACCGGAAAGGGAGTGCGATCACGCTATTGTCTTAAAGGAGGGAGCCACCATTCCCAACATTAGGCCTTATCGACATCCGCACTGTCACAAAGAGGAGATTGAAAAATTTGTGAAGGATATGTTAGCAGCAGGTATGATCAGGCCGAGCACCAGTCCTTATTCCAGTCCACTGATTCTCGTAAAGAAGACGGGAGTTGGCGTTTTTGTGTAGATTATCGGGCCTTGAATAGCATCACCATCCCCAACAAGTTTCCAATTCCTGTCATTGAGGAGCTGCTGGATGAATTAGGAGGGGCAACAATTTTTTCTAAGCTTGACCTAAAATCAGGCTACCACCAAATACGAATGAGACCAGGGAACATTCCTAAAACGGCATTCCAAACACATGAGGGGCATTACGAGTGGTAATGCCATTCGGGCTAACCAACGCTCCTTCAACCTTCCAAGCACTGATGAACTCGGTTTTTAAACCTTACTTGCGTAAATTTGTACTAGTGTTTTTTGATGATATTTTAGTGTATAGTGCAGATCATAGTTCACACGTGGACCATTTGCGATTAGTCCTTCAGCTTTTGAAGAGACATGAACTGTGGCTCAATGGCAAGAAGTGCAGCTTTGGGGAATCACAGTTAGAATACTTGGGGCATATCATTTCATCCGTTGGGATCTCTGCTGACCCTGCAAAGGTCTCTGCTATGAGACATTGGCCACAGCCTAAAGACCTTCGAAGTCTGAGGGGGTTCTTAGGCCTGACAGGTGTTATTATCGCCGTTTTGTACGAAATTATGGAATTATTGCTAAGCCCTTAACACAGTTGCTCAAGAAGAACAGTTTCAAGTGGTCAAAAACAGCACAAGGGGCATTTGAGAAGCTCAAGGGAGAAATGGAGGCGCAGCCTACTTTAGCCATGCCCAACTTTGATTGTGATCGAAACAGACGCTTCAGGTTATGGGTTAGGGGCTGTCCTTATGCAGCAGGGTCGACCCTTGGCCTTTATTAGCCAAGCTCTTTCAGATAGAAACAATGTGAAATCAGTGTATGAATGAGAATTAATGGCAATTGTGTTCGCTGTTCAGAAGTGGCGACAGTATCTGTTGGGTCACCGCTTTACTATTCGTACTGATCAAAAAAGTCTGAAATTTTTATTAGAGCAACGCGTATTGGTGGGGGAACAGCTGAAGTGGATCACCAAACTGATGGGGTTTGACTTTGAAATTCAGTACAAGCCGGGAATGGAGAACAAGGCAGCTGATGCATTATCCCGAATAATGACTTGCAGTGCAATATCCATGGTCACCCACTCTGACCTAGTAGAGTTGGCTGAGGAGGTTATGGAGGATGAGCAGTTGAAGGGAATTATACAAAGGGTGGTAACCGATCGTAACTCACATCCACACTATGCAGTAGCGCAGGGCTGTTTATGGTATAAGCAAAGGTTGGTATTACCTAAGAAGTCTGGCAGAATTCCATTGTTGTTGGTGGAATTTCATGCATCACCTTGGGGTGGCCATTCTGGAGTTACTAGGACATATAAGAGGCTGGCCATGATTTTTTATTGGACTGGAACGAGACGAGATGTGGAGAGGTTTGTGGCTAATTGTCAGGTGTGCCAACAGAACAAACATGAGACCTTGAAACCAGCTGGGCTTCTTCAACCTCTACCAATTCCCGAGCATGTATGGGAAGACATATCCATGGATTTTATTAGAGGATTACCTCGGGCAAAAGGGGCAAACAGTATCATGGTAGTAGTAGACCGACTGAGCAAATACGCCCACTTTATTCCATTGCTCCATCCATACTCGGCTACGGAGGTAGCAGCAGTGCTCGTTAAGGAAATCGTGCGTTTGCATGGGTTTCCCAATTCTATAGTCTCCGACCGGGACAGAATATTCATTAGCTCATTTTGGAAAGAGCTTTTTCGTCTCTCGGGCACACGGCTTAAATTCAGTTCAGCTTACCATCCTCAAACGGATGGTCAAACCGAAGTGACTAACCGTACCATTGAAGCATATTTGAGGTGTTTTGTTAATGATCATCTTCGTCAATGAGTGAAATGGCTACCATGGGGGGAGTTTTGGTTTAATTCCTCCTTTAATGCATCCATACAAATGACTCCCTTCAAGGCGTTATATGGCCGTGATCCTCCCATGGTCATTCCCTACTGCAAGGACAGTACTGCAGTGGCTGATGTGGACAAATTGCTACAGTTCCGGGATAGTATTTTGGAGGAGCTCAAGCAACATTTAATTAGAGCACACATGAGAATGAAGGAGCAGGCTGACAAAGGGCGTAGGGAGGTGGAATTCCAAACTGGGGACATGGTATACCTGAAAGCCAGACCTTACAAACTGAAAACCTTGGCCAGGAAGGTTAATGAGAAGTTGAGTCCAAGGTTTTATGGCCCATTTCTAGTGGAAGGAAGGATTGGAGCTGTTGCTTATAAGTTGCTGTTGCCGGAATCATCACGCCTGCACCCGATTTTTCATGTTTCTCAGCTCAAGAGGGCTCCCCCAACGAGCCAAGCATGTCAAGAATTACCACCATTTTTAACAGAAGAGTTAGAGCTTCAGGTTGAGCCTGAAGAAGTGCTGGACGCTAGGAGATTGTTAAATGGTAGTTGGGAGGTGTTGGTGAAATGGAGGAATCTGCCTAAGGAAGATAGCACTTGGGAAGAATATGAACTGCTGCAAGCCATTTTCCCCCAATTCAACCTTGAGGACAAGGTCCCTCTCAATGGGAGGAGTATTGTTGGGTCCAGGCCAATTGGGCCTCCACTCAAAACATACCAGAGAAGGAGGGGTAGGATGGGAATTGTGGGCAAAGAGGTTGTTAAGGTAGATTCTAACAGAATGGGTGACGTGGATGAATGAGAGAGGAGGGGGCTGTAGGAGGGATATAGGGGTGTTGATCAGAGGAAGGGAGGTAGGATTTATCTGGGAGGTCATTTGGGAGGGCGGCTGTCATAGGGACAGTCATTGTTGCTGCATTACCTAATCCAGTTTTCCTGTTGTTCTTGCTATTTCTACTTGTAATCTCAGGGATATCCCCTGACCGGTTTGTCATACATTTATAAATATATTCTGTTCCTATCAGATTGATGTTAATTTCTTTGAGTTTATTCCGTTTTTTGAGGTCCAATTTTGCAACTTGTGTATTTCTCTATTACTTTACCAATTCTTTCAATTGTTGTTTATTTTTCACCCACCACAAATGCCACATGCTAAGATCTACCTCCTCCACATCCTCTGCAGGTTTATCACCATTAACAACATTAGTAAAAGTCCTAATTCTTTTTGTCACCTTTTCACTATTCTTTGAACAATTACCTAAGAAAATACTATGTCAATTCTACTCAAATTGGATAAAATGTGTGAGCAAGGACAAAAAAAATTGATCCTGAATATATTTTATAGCCCCGGTCCAATTTAGAAAAACATCATGTTACCATATTATGTACTTTATGATAAAATATAGATTTGTCACCTAGTTTGTTTATGTATATGTGATATTGAATTACACATCACCTATTCATTCAGACATATCAGAATGTAGGTTTGGGATTGAGGATTAAACAACCAGTTATAGAAAAGGTTTTTCTTTTGCTTTTCCAAGTTGTTCAACCAAAACATCTTCCTTCAACCGATGGTGTTCTTGTCTTTTAGATATCTTTTGATCATTCATTCTTCTCCAAAATATCTCAAGTGCTAAAAGATTTTATTCTATGGTTATTCACCTATATCAAAGAAACTCAATGTGTGAAATACCTGAAAATTAAACATATTGAATTATATAAAACTATTTCAACAGAAAATTATATGTACTTTTACCTCCAACTTTTCACCTTTAGCCTTTAGAAGGTCAATTGATTGTCGCAACTCTTTCACCTCAACATGGGCTCTAGAAATCATAGACTGCATCCAAAAACAAATGCCACCCAAAGATATAATCCAGGTAATTATTATGCACCTTTGCATGCTCTTCAAGCATACACTATATCAAAATATTGAGCAAGTATCCAGCAGAAGTCAAACAACATTTCGTAAGATCTCAAACTCATTCCAAAAGAGAAATCAGTATCCAAAAAACCAATTAAGAACATATGCCTGAACCTACATCAACATCATAGACAATTTCACCAAAGTGACATTGTATGATGATCGATAATGTTCACCTAATAACACTTTAGCCCAAAGAAATGTAAAGAAGAGGACAAAGATGGCATAAATTGCAACAGCAGTTACACACTTAATAAAAACATGCAATGTGCAATTTAACATCCAAGGATTGCTTTAGTAATTGTCTGGCATTGTCCACTTTTATTGGAACATTTTGTTTACAGAGTATAAGCTATCAGAATAAATAAAAATATCTAAAATATTTATCCCTAGCATATCCTATCTTGAAGGATTAGTTACCTTATATTTATCACTACCTCTTAGGATTAGTTGCCATGTTTCCATATCTTATCCTGATTTGTTTTCTTAATTAGATAGGATAATGATTAGTATAAATAGGGTTAGCACTCTAGGTATTATGAACATCTTGTAACATCCCAACACATTGTCATACATCTCAGTAAATATCAATTCTCCTTTATCTCCTTCTCTTTATTCCTAAAATACCGTAATTTTAGTATGGTATAAGAGCAGTAGCATCCTCCATGATCTATCTTGTCACTATTCCGCTGCCAATCTCTATAAAATTTGGAGTTCTATTTTATTTTCATGATTTTTCTTTTTCATTAATTGTTTCTCCTGCTGTGTCAACACGCTAATGTCTTCTTATTCCTTCTAGTGAGTTCAAACATCTTTTGGTCGTGCTTTTCATTCCAGTTGCACCTTTCTCTATCCTAGCTACCATTGTGCATTTTTATAGTGTGCTTCGAATAGTGTCCAGCTACTGTCATTGTTTCTCCACTATCATGTCATTCTTGTAGATCTACCCACTTCAAACTGTACATTGTGAAATTAGAGAAATCACTCTAGACCAGTGAGTTTACCTAAAGTATCAACTAACCCTATGGCATTACCGGAGGACAATACTTGGCCTTACAACTTTCCTAGAAACTTTACTGGCAGTGTGTCTTTCTCAAAAAGATTTGCTTGGTCCGGCAACTATACCAGAAGTATCAACTAGGCTTGAGACTTTCCCAGAGACAATATGATACCAATAAGCCCATAAAGAAAAGAGTATATAATAGGAAAAGGATGTGTGGGCCAGTTAATATTAAGGCCCAACCTAGAAAACAATCAGTTAGCTCATAATTAGGAAGCAGTTACAAGGGATGGTTGTTATAAATGTCAGAGTTACAAGAATTGAGGTGTCTTTATGTAAGTGAATAAGTGTAGGAGAGTTGTCAGGATCTCTCAAATATTTCTGGCATTGTATGATAACAGCCTGCACTTACATTGGGTACAAGACTGCTCATTATCAGTAACACAATTCAATATTTTTTTCTTTCCTTGCTGTACCAGTTCTAAAACAATACCTAGCCCAATGCTGATAAAGAAAAAAATCAAATGAAATGAAGAAAGTATCAATTATACTGAAGAAAAGAAAATAGAAATCAAGGAACCCAAGCCCGAGGCTGAATTACTCATGAGTTTTTCTTCCGGTTTCCCCTTCTCCCCTCTCTCTCTTTCTCCTCGTAACCAAATTCCTAATTTCCAAACCCCATCATGGGCTCCAGCATGTTGCCTATTTGGTGTAACTAACTTCCCCCATATCCTTCGCCACTTGTCCCCCTTGTCTCTCTCCTAGAATATACTTTTAACTCCTTTCCCATGCATATAACTTGCTGACCCAGTAAAACTTCTTCATCCTTTGAAATTTTAGGCCTAAGAGTCTCACCACTTGCCACTCCTTGAAAAATAGTCTTGTCCTCAAGACTGAACCAAGGAAATTGTTTACGGATGACAAATTATTCCTCTCATGTTGCTTCCTCCTCTCATCCTTACTTCCACTAGACCAACAGCTGAGGTATTAGCACACCATTTTGCAACTTTGATTGGAGCACTAACATGTCCTCTGGTTCCCCCAGTTCCTCCAAGTCCCCTTCCAACCCCAAAGGCAAAGAAGGTTCAACACTTTGGTCTCCCACAGCTTTCTTTAACTGTGAAACATGAAAGACTGGATGAATTTTGGTACAATACTACCTTTCACAAGACCACAGGGGTCACTTGATAGGAACACACACAAACAGCAGAAATAGTGCAGGTCGCAATATTCGAGTTAAGTATTTTCTGAGAATGAAACTAGATATAACTGAATGCAAATTACAAGAGTAGGAATAGAGAGCACTAAGTAGCTCAAACACTCCAAAGCCCAATAACTAAAACTTCCATACCCTAAAACTCCTACCAATTACTCAATAAATACTAGCATAACAGAAAATACCAAAACTACTCCTAAAATATTTCCCATAACAGAAATTATTTAATCTACTCCTAAAATCTCTTATTCATTTGAATCCTCCAAGTTAGTTACAACTAATTTTCTGTTTTCCTTGAACCTCTCCTTGTATGAACCTTCCCATGAAACTGATTCTTTCCATAGAGCTGATTCCTATCATCACTCCCCTTGAAGCTGTGTATGGAAGGAAACCCCCCAAGCTCATCCATCTCCTTCTTGGTGAGACCATAGTTGAATTTGTGCAGCGTGAACTGATTGATCGTGATGAAGCTCTCCAACAGTTGAAGTTTCATCTCCATAGAGCTCAGGGAAGGATGAAAAAACATGCTGATTGATTTGAAAGAGGAAAAAGAGAATTTTTGAGATAGGAGAATGGGTGTTTCCAAAATTACACCCCCACAAGCAAAATTCCATTACTTCAAGAATCAATGCCAAGTTGACAGCCTGTTTATTATGGCCCTTTCCAAGTTCTGGAATGTGTAGGAGTAGTTGCTTACAAGTTGCAACTCCCTGAAAAGTACACCTAGTCTTTCACATATCACTGTTAAGGAAAGCCATCCACATTTATAAGGCTGAACAGGATTTGCCACCTGGACTAGATGGAGAATACTTTGACATGTTGGAACCAGTTGTTGTTTTAGCTTCTCAAACAATAGTTAAAGGTGGGAAAACATGATTCAACTTTTAGTATGTTAAGAAACTTGGGCCTAACTCATTCCCAAAAATTAGTTTATAGGAGGAGGACTACACAAGCTCTTATAAGGAGTATTCTGATTCTATTCCTAACCAACGTGGGACATTTAACACAGTGAAAAGGAAAATCAATTGATGAAGCTAGATGGGAGGATGAGCTACAAATTAAGAGCTAATTTCCAAATTTCAGCCTTGAGGACAAGGCTGTAGATGAAGACAAGGGCAATGATAGGATCCAAAATGGGTTAAAGGGTCAACGGGAAGAATGGGCTCAACAATTGTGCCATGGGCCCATGGTATGGAGGGCCTAGACAAAGAATAAAGGAAGAATCGGTAAAGGTCTAGAAGTGAGAGAGTAGTTAGTTAGTGGGGCGTCCGTGCCCTTATAGTCGTTTGGAGTAGTGAGAGGGGGCATATCTAGGAGAATCATTCTGTTATTTATGGATGTAAAGCAATAGCTCTGTAGGAACTTGACTCTGAGCAATATTCCTTGCTACTGAATTTCTTTAATATTTCAATAATACACATACTGCTTCTTTTACATTTTGCTGTTTCATTTTCATTCTTGGAATTGATTTGTATCATATACTCCTATCTTTTAATTGTGTTTATCTTATTATGCCTCATTGTATGTATGAATGGATCAAGTCGCATGCATAAAATATAGGTTGTGAGAAAGTGAGTGGTCATACTACTCTTAATAGGGTAAACAAGAGGATCAATCTAAAATGTTAGGTTTTCAATCAAACTATTGATGCTGTATGCTTTCCTGAATCTACATCTTACATGATCACTGAGTAGAGATTTAAGAGAAAAAAAAAAACTCAATATTCCATGAGCATTGGGTATTGGTGGATTTCCTTGGCATTGAAGTTAAGCATCTAAGCAGAGGTTCACTATTGCCCTCTCAAGGCAAATATGTTTGAGACTTATTAGCCAAAGCTGAAAAAAGTGATGCTAAGGGTGTATCTATGCCTATGCTGGGGCTGTACAGCCAGTAAACCATGCCTATAGGAGGACCCATATTTGTAAAGGCCCAGCATTGGTACTCTTCAATATGTCATAATTAAACAACCAAAAATAAGCCACAAGGTAAATAATGTTTGTCATCAGGTCTCAACTGCTGGTAGAATGTTGGAAGGTGGTCAAACACATTGCATTATTTCAGGGAACCCTAACCCATGATCTTCTCTAGCCTCCACAGCACCGTCAGCCACTCTCCCTTTGGACCTTTTATGATTCTGATCAGGATTTAGACCCAGATGACTGTCACTCTACTTCTGGATTCTGGTTCACATGTATTTGGGCCCAAACTTAATTTCTTGGTGCTCCATGAAGCAATCTCTACTCACTAGTTGCTCATTCCAGAACAGAGGCTGCATACATAAGTTTGACGTCCATTGCAACTGAATTCATTGGGATATACTCTCCTCACTTAACTCCAAATTCCTATTTCAACCCAGGATCTAAAGTGACAAGTTGACTATAGTGTCCCTTTCACATTTTCCAATCCTACAAACTTGCACCAAAAATATGGAAGTTGACATCTTGTTCGGAAGAAGGTCATTTTAACAAATGTTTAATTGTCACATACATTCCAGCTCAAAACGGGATACCTGATGTATTCACTGCTGTCTTAGAATCAAACTCATGCTGTTTAACCAGTTTTGCCTACTGCACCCATCCAGCGTAAAAATGCTCATTGGATTTATTGTGGACATAATGTGAGCATTTGTCACAACTAAATACAAAGAGAATAATGAGTTCAACAATATTCATCTGTATTACAAGCCATAACTCACAGTCTTCAATCAAGAGATTAATATTTATAGTAAAAGTATGTCAGGTTGTACATTTGCAAATCCAAGTTCTAAGCTCTCTAGTATTTATGCAAACAAAGGATCTCTAGTTAAACTTATATTCAGTATTCACCAGCATTTATCCAAAAGACAATGCTTTGTATTGATACTCAATATGTGTTTAGCTCCTTTTGGATACATGTGCATTTCATGATTGAATTAACTCAAAATCAGGCATCTTTGTCCTTGTGAAGTCAACAGACATAATGAGATTATTACTCACCTCTTCACTGACAAAAAGACGTAAAGTGTTGTAGTACAAGACCCGACGAGGCCCTACAAGGTAACCAAATTCTCAGAAAAAATAATAATGTGCTAATTGAATAATGTATTGCACATATAGAATAAGGTAAATAACATTGCTTCAAAAAACATATGTAGCAATACATATGATACACATACTACCAGCAATTTACTGCATTTAACAAAGAAATAAAATTTTAAGGGCAGGCCACAGCATTAAAATTAAGAATAGACCCTCAATTTAGTCATGATTAAGGTGTTGCCACATTAGTCCCCTAAAGATTTTTGTCACTAAATTAGTCGCTCAGACAGTGAAGAGTCAGCATATTATTTTTCTAAAGATTTTCTTTTTGAAATTAATCTCTCAAAGATACAAAATTATCACCAAATTTATCTGTAAGGAAGATTCAATCGGTAACACAAAAGGATGAATTGGGTGACAATTTGTATATTTAAGGAACTATTTGGGGAACAGAACTACGGAGAATTAATATGTCAACACTTCAATTTTCCACAGATAAATTCGGTGACAAAAAGATTTAAAGTAGCAAGTTTGCAACACCCTAATCTTTGGGAGACCAAATTCAAGGTTTACCCCAAAAGCCATGATCTACATGAGTTTTAACTAGACTATATTCAGTTATGAGATTCATTGCCAAAATACAAATCTAATATATATTATCTTTTGCATGTCACATGAAGAATGAAACATCAAATGCAACATTTAAAAGTAAAAACATAGAATCTTACTTTTAAGCACAAGAAGGCCCAGGGTAGCAGTGGCCCCACATGTAATAACTGGATGTGAAGCTGCAACAAGTACACCCTCTGCAATGAAAGACCAATCAAGCAAAAAATCCTAAACATTAGAAACTTCATAAATTGGAAACCAAAAAAACAACCCATCTCCACTAAATGAACGACAAAACGCAAACCTTTGATCTTTCCAAAAATAAGATTCTCGTAAGCATTGTACTGAGACTTGAGATCATCCAAAGAATGCTACATTCAACAGAAATCAAAATCATGCATATGAGATGATAAAAGCTGTTTGAAGAAACAAATGAACAAACCAACGAAAGCGTGATGTAACCAAACTAGGTTATGGAAAATCAAATTTCTAAAGGGTCCGTTCATTCCCAGTGATGAAAATTTTCTCGGGAAGCAAAAGATAAGCGGGGTAAAATCAAGATACTACCAAGGTGTGATGAAAATGAGAAGAAGAAGTTGAACGGATTTGGGAAAAACGGGATTTTCCCGCGTCGATTGCAGATTCGACGGCATCGTTGAAGCCCTTCTGGTAAAGCTGGGCTTGCGCAACAGCGTAGTCAATAAACGGCGTCGTTTCATTTAAGATTTGAGGATCGCTGGGTGCAGGGTAGTTCTGAGGCGATGGGGGTGTCTCAGATTCCGGTGATTCCGTCACCGTCGCCATGGTTAATTTCATTGATGGTTCTCTTACTTTTCTTCCAGGCTTGACTCGTTCGGTCCCTCTTTATTTACCGTTAACTTTCTTTATAAATTAAACAATGCACGTAATGTATTTTATTTTCATTTTTATAATACAATTGGGCTTAATTGAATTTGTTTATTGTTAAAAATTTTGCTACTTGAATTAGTTAATTTTTTAGTAAAATAATAATATTCAGTAAAAATAAAATTCATCTTATAAAAAGGTATATTGTGTCACATTACAATGCGAGGAACAATTTGGCGAGGCCTGACATGCATGAGATGTGGGATGTAGTATGTAAAGAAAAGACATACACATGGGATGCACAAGAAGGGTTACGTGTCGCAAACACAAAATGTGTACACAGCATAAACTCTGTCATTGCATACTCTTCAAACTTTGAATAAAGGTTGTATTATTTTTATCTCATTTTCTTTATTTTATAATTTTTTATTCAAATAAATAAGACATTTTTAGATTTTTTTATCAAAATATAATGATATATTTAGATTAAAAAATATAACATTGTATGATGTTAAGTAAATGACTTAATTGTGAGATCTTATTAAGTATTATTAGAAAAATATTTTTATTTAAGTATGAATACTGGAACAATATAATACATTGAAACTAAAGTGTAAATAGACTGATGAACAAGTCTTAGGAATCATGAATATGATATATTATGTTCTCACATGGATATACATTTTTTATTTGTTTAAAATTTTTAAATGATTTTGATTTATGTTATATTAGATATACAAATTTATATCTATTGAAGTTATCAATAAACATAATGAAGTATTTAGATATCATTCCTTTGAGCTCTAACATCCTATGTTTTACTCTTTGTGGACAATCACTTTTATAGTCAATTAACTTTCAAGTATTTTATTTATTAGCATATTTTTATACAAATTATGTTTTATTAATTAGTAGTTTTTGGAAATTGATTTAGCATCGCCATGATCTGAATATGAATTAAAGGCCTAGATGTTATCTTTCAAATGCCACTAGAATAAATTCAGTTGGATATTTTTGGATCAAGATATGGCTTAAACATTGCATGTTAGTCAGGATATGTGTTTGTCTCCTTTTTCTTTTGATTTAGGCCTAATTTTGGTTCTGGACATTAGGATTCAACCTTGATTTCTTCATAAGAGTTGTAGGCCCATATATATTATCTTTCTTACAAAATAAGAATCACATTAAAACGAGATATATAACTTAATTGATAATTCAAATACTAAACAATGTCAGAATATGCAATATGCTGAATTAATTGAATTAAGGCTTAACCAAGACTCAAAAAGCAAAAGTAGCCAAATCAATTCACTTATGCATAAAAGAAGGTTAATATATCAAATATGAAGATATATATATATATATATATATATATATATAAAGAAATTTAAAACATAAAAAACTAGAACAGCGGTAGAACCAGCATAGAACTAGTAGAGAGAAAGGAGAAAAAGTTAGACGACAATAATTCGAACAGAACTAGCTAAGAGAGAAAAGAGAGAAAAATACAGAAAAATAAATCTTTATTGAAACTTTGAAAGAAATCTTACAAAGAAGTATCTCAACAGAATCTCTCTAAAACTCTAAAATTACTCAAATGAAAGGGTGCCTGACAACATGGTCAAGGACTCCTTATATAGAAATTTAAAATCTACTATTTTAACAGTTTCGGTTAATTAACAGGAACTATTTGCTGCAATACCAAAACAATCGTCTTCATTTTGGTAAGCATCATCAGATTCTTTCTTTGAAGAAGTTTCTGCTTCATCTTTTTGAAGAAGTAGAAGAACATCTTTTAAATTACTCTTTAAATCTTCTTTGGAATTACAACTTGTTAAAAATGCTGCAATCCATGATTTTTTATTGAGAAATCTTGAAGTGTTTGGGTCTGATATTTTGAGATACTGAGGATTTATACTAAAGAAGTTATTAAATCCTAAGGGTCTTGCATGATCACCATTAAATTGATTCCACCATTTAACAAAAGAATATCTTTATAATATGGGAAGAATTTCTTGATTTTCTAGTTTGTTGTATCTATACTACCATAAGAATACCCAGGCTACAGCAAAGACAGAGAAATATTTAAGATCTGCTCCAATTCTTGATTCAGATGCATATCATTTCTTGAAATGACCATATCCTTCTTTTACTGGTGATGGAAGGATAGTTTCAGTTGGTCCAAAGAAGTCCCACCATGAAGGAACCAATTTGAAAAATTGTAATGTTGTCCAAAATTTTGGGTCTTTTTGAAATAAACTAACCAGGAATGACGGTTGAGCTTATTTTTCTAAATTCTTTTTTAATACTTTGAGAATTTGTATTGTTGAGTGGGTAATGATGGATGGATCTTTTTTATCCTTATAGTGTTTGATGGAAATAGAATCTGAATCCACTAGGATGAATTTATAAAATTGCCTGGTTTGATTTAAAGCTAAAGGCCTAAAATGAAATCCTAGTGGAAATACCTTAGATACAGCCTTATAGGGATTTTTGTCCAAGAACTCAAGTTCCATCTAAATGACCGAGGAGAATTTTTCTTTGGCTATATAATGGGTTATGTTTTGAGAGGATTGGGTTATCTGTTTGTCTTTTGGGAGACTTATAGCTTTGCTAGTTTCTCCTGGAAGACTAATAGTTTTTTGAGATTGATTGAAGGACTAGATTATAGTGTTTAGGCTAGTTAGGTCTATATCTATTTTATCCTCAGAGGTAATATCTGCCCATAATTTTTTTGGTAAGAGGTTTAGACTTCCATGTTGGAGGGCTAATAGGGTACTAACAGGTAAAACATAGTTTGCTTTGGTCTGTTTAGCTGTTTTGGATTAGGTTGAAGAAAAACCAGCCTTGTTAGATGAATCTTTTATAGGAATCCTAGATCTTTTTTAGCAACCGAGTTGATGAACCAGCCGAAGTGGATGACCCTGAAGATGCTGAATTTCAATCTGCCGAAATAGATTTTGATTTTGATTTGTTCAAAGTCAGGACAAATCTAACTCTGCCTTTATTAGTAGCTCCTCCTCTGGAAGAGATTGTTGCCTTCCTAGGCATCTTACTTATCGTATAAATATTTATGAGTAAGATAATCAGGAAGAAAATTTGAAGTGTCTTTGAAATACTCAATTTCAAAATCAAAAACACTTAAAATTGCTTTTCATTTTGCAAATATTTGTTTAGAGGCAAGATTTTTTACATCTTTTTGTAATCTACTCTAATAAAAAAACATTTGGCTTAGTAAATTCGATTATATTTTTGAAACACATAAAACAATTGCTAAAACTTCCTTTTTAACATTTGAGTAATTCTGCTGTGCAGAATTCTAATGCTTAGAAGTATATGCAATAATATGTTCATGAGAATCTATTCTTTGTTTAAGAATACCACCATAACCTATGTCTGAGGCATCTATTTCGACAATTTTGAAGGCTTGAAGAATAGGGAGATAAAGACATTTTATCTCTCTAACTTTAGTTTTGATATCTTTGACAATGTTGGTATGAACGTTTGTCCAAGAAAGAAGATTCTTTTTAAGCCTATCATGCAGAGGCTTAATAATATTATTAAGGTGAGGAATAAATTCACCTACATAATTGAGACATCCTAAAAACCTTTGTAATTGAGTTTTATCAATGATTCTATCAAGAAATTTGTTAGCAAATTCAATGGATTTGCTGATTGGGATAATATTTCTTTGATGAATATTATGACCAAGGAATATGACATTTGTTTGAAAAAGATTGATTTTTGATTTTGACACGACTAGACCGTTTTGCTTGATAACATTAATAAAAATATTTATATGCTTAAAATGTTGATCAATAGACTGAGAAAAAAATTAAAACGTCATCAATGTAGATAATGACAAATTTGGAGTAAGGATTAAAAATGACATTCATAATCTTCTGAAATTTAGAAGGAGCATTTTTCTGACCAAAGGGCATTACGTTCCATTCGTATTGCCTAATGGGAACAGTAAAGACAGTTTTGTACCTATCTATTTCATCGATTTGGATTTGCCAGAATCTTGATTTCATATCAAATTCAGAAAATATCTTGGTAAAGTTGGGTCTGTTAAGAAGGTCTTTCTTATTAGAAATAGGATACCTAATCCACTGAAGAGCTTGATTAAGGGGCTTGTAATTGATTACTAGCCTGAAAGTTCCTCTTTCTAATTCTACTTGTTTATTAACATAAAACGTAGAACAAGACTAAGGACTCTTACTCTTTCTAATCAAGTTTTTGTCTAAGAGATCTTTAATCTCTTTTTGACAATATTGGAGAAGTTTCTCATTTATCTGAATGGGTCTCGCTTTAGTAGGGATTTGGCTTTCCTTAAAGTCTGTTTCATAAGAAAGATCAACTATATGTTTCTTCCTATTCCAAAATGTATTGGGAATGTTAGAACAGATAGAGAATTGAATAGAATATAAAGAAATTGAATCTTTTTCTGAAGTGATGGATTCTTCAGTTATTTATCAATGTTAGCAAAAGAAACTTCTTTTATGAATTTGATTTGATTAATCTTTCTTTGTAAAATATTAATATTTCTGGTAAATGGTTTACTAGAAAAATTGAAAACAATTTGCTTACCTAAGTGGTAAGTCAAAATTCCTTCTTTTCAAATTTGAAGCGGAAAAAGAGCTTTTATAAAAGGTGTTCCTAAAATGACATCATTTTTCAGATTTTTTACCAGAAGAAAACTTGTTTCTATTTTAAAACCTTGATTTTTAATAATAGTTTTAGATAATTTGTAATTAATCTTAAGCTTAAAACTATTTGCAGTGTTGCGTTTTTCAGAAATTTTCTCAAAATATTTAGTAAGAATTAATCCTTCTAAAATACAATTTGAGTCAGCACCAGTGTCAAATAGTGCCAAAGTATCAAAAACAAAATTATCAATAATGATTCTGATATTAATGTAAAATTTTTGAATTTTGACCTTGTTGATCAAATTCATAAAAATTTCTTCTGCATTTTCAGAATCATTTTTCTCAAAAAGTTGCTTTTTAGCAACTTCAGATTCATTATCATCTTCAAGTTGGAAAAGAATAACT